CAGTGAGAAAACCTGAAGAAGTCATTTTGGTCCACCATTTTTTACTTCTTTTCAGTCGCGTCAAGTTTCTGAGCTTTCTAAATCTTTGTTTTCCGGCTAATGAAAAGAAAATAGGATTCCATTGAGTCTCCTATCTACCTACTCCAGGACTTCTGTGAGGATCAAATGAGATGAGGCACGGGAAAATGCTTCACAGACATTTGGTTACAGTGTAGAGCGTTTCCAGCTGGCTACAAAGCAAGTCGTGTTCCTGGGCTGAAGAAACTGCAATGAGGCTAGTCATTGCTAGGGAGAGGAAGCTGGGCATTGCTACATGACATCACTACCCAGACGAAGGACACTTAGCAAATGAGCCATATATATATATTTGACTATATTCCCTATGCAGTAGTTTACATCCCCATGACTATTTTGTAACGTTTCCAGCTGGCTACAAAACAAGTTGTGTTCCTGGGCTGAAGAAACTGCAATGAGGCTAGTCATTGCTAGGGAGAGGAAGCTGGGCATTGCTACATGACATCACTACCCAGACGAAGGACACTTAGCAAATGAGCCATATATATATATTTGACTATATTCCCTATGCAGTAGTTTACATCCCCATGACTATTTTGTAACTGCCAAGTTGTATTTCTTAATCCCTTCACCTTTTTCACCCATTCTCCCAACCCTCCTTCTCTGGCAACCATCAGTCTGTTCTTTGCAATTTTCTTTTAACCTTTATTGAGAATCTGTTTTTAAATTTGGTTTAGATATTTTTTACAAACTTTTTCTGACTTGTGTTATCCTAGTTTCAAATGCTTGTTTCGAATCTAGAAGAAAACAGAGGAAATACAATGTTATCACATAAATTGGCAATTATCCTAAGTCATATGGAAACCCTATTTTTAATTGTAATGTCTCTTTTTTTTTGCAGGTAAAAAGAAATGTGTATGACCTTACGAGTATCCCTGTACGCCATCAGTTATGGGAGGGTTGGCCAACTTCTGCCACAGATGATTCAGTAAGTGACGTTGACTTACCAGTTTTATATCCTCGTTTCTCTTTTGCCACTTTCAGTCTAATTGACTGTGATAATAAGCAGAATCAAACTTTGAATATCCCACTGAAAAAACTTATAAATCAAATAATGTGAAAATAAGAGTTGTAATAATTTGAGTTCACTTGCAGAGCAGATATCATAAGTGAAGTATACCAGCTTTCTGTTGATAATATTACAATATCACTATCAGGAACTAATGCTGCTTGATTTGACTTAAATTTTTCCTTGATCAAAAGAATACATTCAGCTATTACTGATGAAATGTCCGAAGCACAAAATTATTTTCCTTAAATTACAGATATCTTAAAGTCATTTGAACAGTTACATATTTAATTTTTAAACTACATTTTCTGTAGTAGACTGGTACTTTAAAAAATAGCTAAGTTTTACAGTTAATATTAATAACACTCCATTCTTAAATATACCCATAATTTCCACTAATATAAAAACTGGAAGAAAAGATTTAGTCTGTCATTTTTATCTGTTATTATATCTACTTATAATGATTTTCCTATTTTAATTTTGAAACCTTTTCTATCTCTGCCCTATTTCTAAGTGATTATTCTTTTTTCAAGAGAGTAAGTTTTATCATCTAAGGAGGCCAACTAAAATTACATTTTGACCACTTTTATTCATAATTTTGGTTGTTTTAATCAGATACCACCCTCCACCTTTTTTTTAAAGTACAAAATGAGAATGTTTCAAGAATTCTGAACGTAAATCTGATTTTTAAAATAAATAAAGCCAAAAAATTAGTTTTTGTATTTTCTAGTAAATATTGTGTTTCTGTTTGGATAATAATTACTCCTCTTCTCTCAGCACTGCCATTATACATTTTAATATGTGTGAATTCTTTGTGGAAGTCAGAAACATTTTTAAAACAAATGCTTATGTAGATGCTACTTGAATAATTATTCCACAGTCTAAACACTGTACCTTTGGAAAATGCTTTGTGTATCATAAAACTTTAAAATTGGAAAATAGCAAAACTTTTAAAAAAGTGTATCTTTCCAGGAAAAAAAAATGTTTATGTGTAGGTATTTACATTTATTTCTAAACACGGATTTTAACATTGCAATTATAGTATCTCAGAATTATTGGCTGGTTGTCCATGGCTAAAGGTAGCGATGTGGTTGATGGTTTTACTTTGTTTTTCTTTTTCCCGTAAGAATGAGAAATTTGACAGGAAATGTATTACATTTAATTTTACCAAAATAAGAGAGTATTTTCATAAGTAATAACCTTCTTCTTACCCAACAAGACATAAATAAACCAGAGATGTTCTTAGTATTGTCTAGTAACTACTACAAGAAATAACATTAATAGAAGAAAATAATTAAGATCTAAGTATGCCACTTAAATTCACTGAGCTTCAGTAACCTAATTTGCAGCATTATTAATGAGGGTTAGTGATAATATGTGTAAGTACCTGACTCAGAGTAGACACTCAATAAATGAAAGTCAGTGTTATAGTTCATATTAACATAATGTAGAAAAGGATCACAGGCAAGAATTGACTGGCTTAAGTAAATGAAATGCTATCTGAGATTTGCTTCAAAATAACCTATAGGGGTTGGGAATGATGTGGGATATATAAACAAATTCAGGTTAGCTGTCTGTTGATCATTGTTAAAGCTGAGTGATGTGTATATTTTTATTATATTATTCTCTAAACTTTTTCTATGTATTTGAAAATTTCTATAATAAAAAGTTTACAGCAAAAATAATTGTCTGGCTCTGGCCAGTGTGGATCAGTTCGTTGGAGCATCATCCCATATAGCAAAAGGTGGTGGGTTTGATTCCTGATCAGGGCACATACCCAGGTTGCTGGTTCAGTCCCAGGTCAGGGTACATATGGGAAGTGGGCGATCAATGTTTCTCTCTCTCTCTCTCTCTCTCTCTCTCTCTCTCTCTCTTCCTCTAAATGAATGAATGAATAAGCAAACAAACAAACAAATAAAATTGTCTGGTTTAAGAGCAAGAACATGAGGTAATAAAGTTTGGAAATGTCAGACTACATAGAGTTAGAAAAGCCAAAACTGCTCTTTGATCCCACAGTTGTAGAAACCAGATTGAAACAGGCTTATCAGATGCAAGTTCCAACAGTGATAGACAAATTTAGTGAAATGTTATAAACTAGAGGCCCAGTGCACGAAAACTTGTGCACTGGGGGGTGGAGGTCCCTTAGCCTGGCCTGCGCCCTCTCACAATCTGGGAGTCCTCAGGGGATGTCCTATTGACGGCTTAGGCCTGCTCCCCATGGGAGGCAACCAGACGGGTGATCAGGGGACGGTGCTGCCCCCATCACCCCGCCCGCCGCTTCTGCCGCCGCCACCGCCGTCTGGCCTCCCTCTGCAGGAGGTGACCGGACGGGTGATCAGGGGATGGTGCCGCCCCCATCACCCCACCGCTGCTGCTGCCCGCCTCCCTCTGCAGGAGGCGACCAGACAGGCCAATCAGGGGACGGTGCTGGCCATCCCAATCGCCCCTCCACCGCTGCTGGTCACTGGAACCCTCTCCCCTGCCCCCCATCACCTTCCCCTCCCTCTGCCTGCTGGTACGCACCTTGGTGGCCTGGTTGCCTACTCACAGGCCCCACCCACTACCCACTGGTCATTCCACCGTTCGGTCAATTTGCATGTTATGCTTTTATTATATAGGATTCTTCTGTTGGCATAGTGCCTTATACATTTTAGGTGTTTAATCATTGAATTGAGTTGACACTGTATTTTATGATGCTCACGTTTTAATGATTTCCCCAAGAGTTCTAATGCAATTTCATTACTACAGGAAAATAGGAAAGCAGCTAAAATTCACCATATCCAAGACTATAATGTTACCTAGTGCTGTATCTAAGTCACAGCAAACACAAGAGGGAGTCTCCATTAAGAGGCTTGATTCTTTTTGCCTCATTATTCCTATTTGCACCTTCTCCCAGAACCTGTGAAATGATGCCTGCCCTCGCCTCCCAAGAGCAAATGTTGCCATATTGGCAGGATGTTGCCTTGAGCTGCATGATTTGCTACAACAAAGATGTTTAGGGCCAGATTGCTTTAACTGGTGCCATAGCAGATCCACTAGCTCCAGTGCTCGAGTTTTGACAAAAAATGGTTTACAACTGTAGTCTCTTAAGGAGATCCTAGCCAAAGAAATGTCATGAAACCTTTCTTTCATTAGGACTATTAAAACTCATAAAGCTGGTACTTGTAATCTATATTGTTGCAGGCTGTGGTGTTTTATACTTATTTAAATCACTGAAGTGGAGGCATCTGCTACAAAACAAGATCATCCTCACAGCTTGGGGCATGAATTGGGTACAGCTGAGAAATGTCAGCTGTGTAAACAGCCTGAAATGTGTTACCAACAAAAATATAATTAATTTCTTTCCAAGACATTGTGCCATAACTTAATACTTGGAATGGTTTAACTTTCAGAGAAAGCACCTGAACATTTTCTTCCCAGTGCCAGAGTAGAGGATTGGTTATAAAGGTCATTAAAAGCGAGGTTAGTTTGCACTTTTCCTGCTCAGTTGCAGAGATTTGTGTGGCTAAGAATGAAGTATATTAACTTTAGGTACCAGTGGCTTTCTTAAATTTATGAAAATATCTTAGATCAAGAAGTTAATGGATTTGGGATGATAGAAATGTTCTAAAATTAGATTATGGCAATGGTAGCACAATTGTAAATTTACTAAAAAATCATTGAACACGTTAAAAATGAGTAAGCTTTATAGCATGTAAAAATACAAAGCTATTTTTTAAAGATGTTAATAAAGAACTAGATTAAAATACTTTTTAAATTTATGTTTTTATGAGAAATACTTGGTCAAAACACAGGAGATGTTTTCTTCAGTCTACTTCTCATTAACCTTTTACTAAGCAAACAAGACAAAGAAAAAAATTTCTATAATTAGGTTCCTGTAACATCTTGAGTCACTTCTCAACCTGATAGGCTATATAGTCTTTTGACATTTTCTGCACTATTCATTGAAGTCAACAATTATTTAAAACATTGTTGCGCCATCTGCCCTCAGAGTTAAAATATTTTCTTTGCCTATAGTTATAATACTCTAATGCAGTGGTTCTCAACCTTGGCTGCACATTAGAATCACCTGGGAATCTTTTTAAAATCCTGATTTCTGGGCCTCATCCTCCGGAAATTCTGTTTCTTTGTTATACAACATTAGTAACAAAGAAACAGAATTTCCGGAGGATGAGGCCCAGAAATCAGGATTTTAAAAAGATTCCCAGGTGATTCTAATGTGCAGCCAAGGTTGAGAACCACTGCTCTAATGGGATATGGGATACTGTATGAATTGTCAGTAACTCTTTCAGTTCCCTTTGCTTTCTTTCAGCAGGGAAGTAGGTATCTAAAGCTTCACCAGTAGGGGAATGTTTTCATGCTGTGACAGTTCAGGTGTGAGAACAAGGAGTTGCAAGTAGGCGAAATCTCATTTTTACACTTTAACAAGGATGCTCTTGGTTTCCAGAGAGTAGAAATAATTTTAACACTGTGAATTATGTCTAGACACCATGTTATAACACAGATAATATGAATGTATGTAGTTTATAAAAGTGCTGCTTTTAATAATGCTTATACTAGGAGGAAAAATCCTTCCGTTTTTAATACTTTTTTTTGTCATGTACCCCCCCCCCCGAGATTATTAATGGTCTGTAGTTCTATCATTAACTGAGGAATGCTAAATCACAATTTGAGAAATTAGAATTTTAGAACCAGAGGTCTTCAAGCATGTATTAAGAGTCAGAAAGCTACTTATTAAATATTTTCACATTAAAAAAGAGGTCATTTCGCCCTAACCAGTTTGGCTCAGTGGATAGAGCGTCGGCCTGCGGACTGAAAGGTCCCAGGTTCGATTCCAGTCAAGGGCATGTACCTTGGTTATGGGCACATCCCCAGAAGGAGGTGTGCAGGAGGCAGCTGATCGATGTTTCTCTCTCATC